ACTTGAGGACATTATGCTAAGTGAGATTAGCCAATCACAAAAAGACAAATAGTGTATAATTCCACTTATCTGAGGTACCCAGAGTAGTCAAATTCACAGCGACAGAAAGTAGAATGGTGGTTGCCAGGGCCCAGGGGTGGGGAGAATGGAGAGTGGTGACTTAATGGGTATAGAGTTTCAGTTTTTCAAGAAAAAGAGTTCTGGAGTTGGTTGCACAGCGATGTGAAGGTACTTAACACTAGTGAACTGTGCACTTAAAAACGACTAAGATGGTAAACTTGAAGTTATGTATATTTTACCACAACTTAAAAAAAATTTTAAGTTGAAGCCACATAGCCCAGGTCTGATTCTAAGGTCCCATTTTTTTTTTCCAATACAAAAACAACTATAAGATAAGGGGGAAAGGAATGTGTCATTCGAAGAGTCCAGATAAGGAATAATTTACTAGCGTATCATCCTTTGCATCCAAAGAGGAGAGCATTACTATTTGCCTTTGGGCAAATGGGCCAGAAAGAGAGGGACAGCCAATAGCTCCACTCCAAGGCAGGATTCAGCATCGTTAACACTCGGATGCAATCGAAGATTCAGATCGCTCCTAAGTCTTTGTTCAGGAAGATTTGCACCCCATTCTCCAATCTCACCTTCCCCTGTCTGCCCACTCATGCTGCTTCACAGCCCTTGCAGCCAAGAACAGAGATCACTCCGGGTAGAACCAAATATTACGCAGGAGGAGGTCTGGAAAGAGCCAGCCCCTGGCAAGCTTGTGAAGTGGGCAAAGTTCATCATTCAGGCCCCGGGCTCTCCTTTTGTGCAGCTGGCACAGGGCTAAGAGTCAGGAGACTTGAGTTCTGATTTCTGCTACTAACTTGCTGTGTGACACGGGGAAGGACATTGTCTTCATCTGGGCCTTGCTTTCCTCATCTGTAACGTGAGGGTTTATTCTACCTGATGTCTAAGGCTCCCCCTCCAGCGCTGACCCTGTAGGAGCTTTGAACCTTTGTCCCCTTCTCTCCCAGTGTCCTCCTGTTCTCTCACACCTTCTCTTTCGGCAAAATTGCTCTGGACAGGGTCTGATACATTCATTCACACAGAGGTATATTTTCTCCCAAGGGTATCTGAATTTCCAGATGAGAGGGAATGAGGCTCTAACTTGGGATTCCTTTCAACTGGATGAACAAGGGGCTTTTGGAAGGGGTAGGGTGGAGGGGAGAATCCAATTGGCAAGACGGGGCCTGGTCCAGGGCTCCGTCCTTGGTGGAGATCTTGGCACGTCTCTCCACACGTGGCGCAGGCATGAACGCGCTGTGCATCCTCTCCTTTTTCCAGGGACTCTACAGGGACACTGGCAACCCTTCTGTCTCTGGAGAAGTGAGTTCCAGCTCAGACATGGATGAGGTCATCCAGATCCCCAGTCAGAGCTGGAATTTGGCAGGAGGGCTTGTGGACAGCTGTTTGTGGTTTCTCCTTTCCTCTGAAAGAAAGTCTGAGCAGATGATCTCCTAGGTGCTGCCTGTTCCAAGTGAGGGAGAAGCAGGATGTGGCTGTGGATCAGTGGAATGGGAGGGGGCTTGGCAGGGAGCGTCTGGGGCGACACGTAAGTGACATATTTCGTGAGATGAAAGATCTCCACTTCTTTCAATAACCTCCTCAACTCTGCTTTTGTTCTTGCGAAGCCTCGGTACTTCCCTAATATTTATTCATGAGGATTTTTGTTTTTGGAGACCTTGAGGAGCAGCTGCTTTGGGTATGAGGGAATTCACTCCACCGCGAAGGCGGCTTTTCATCTACTCAGTGCAGCCAGGCTCCTCATCAAGAAGCATCAGCTCCTCGGGGTGGAGGGGCCTCCAGCTCCGGCAGGATTAATGCGCAGTTCTACAAGGCTCTTGGCATCCTCTGCTCCTGGCCAGGCAGCCTTGGGGCCTGGGGAAAGGGCAAAGGCAGCTTCTGGAACACAGGGGAGGCCACGTGACAGGACAGGCATCTCTGCTTGGGGACCTTGTGGAGCCTCTTTGGCCAGTAAAGCACAATACTGGAGGCTCCAAGAACCAGGAGTTCCAGATGGTCTTCATCTTTCAGAGGCTCGTGTCTAATGGGAGAAGCCAGGGACTTCGACCCACCAGAAAACAAGTCCCATGTGACACACAAAAAAGTGCCCAGTGGGGAGGTCAGGCTGGTTCAGCAGTGCAGAGGGAAGACAGAATTAGAAAAAACATACACGATGGTTTTGAATGGGGAAGTCAGGAATTCTAGAATGTCAAAGTTAGGAGGGACTTTGAGTTCTAGTCCAACCCTCTTATTTCCAGATGGAGAAATTGTGAGCAGTGACTTGTCTACATGAGTCACTTGGAAGTGCGATCCAAATATAGGTCTTCTGGCCCCAGTCCAGTGTTCTTTCCTCTACATTTTCTCTCTGAATGCCTGGTTCACCCAGCCTTCTAGGACTCCATGACTCTAACTCTATGGCTCCCCAACTAGTTCCTCCTCGTGCACACACTCTTTTTGTGCAGGGTTCCCACTCATCCCTCACTGTGCGCTGCTTTCTTTCTTACTGCCCATCTGAGCAAACTGCTCCATCACCAGCCTCTGTAATGCTCATGGGCTTGTGAACACAAGGTTTCACGTGACTAAGGAGAGTCCTGGGAATGTTTTTGCCCAAAAAGGGGACACTGACCATCTACAAGGAAATCAGGACTGTACTTAGTTCTTCTTGAGGCTCTGGACCACTTCCTCTCATTGTCCACTGTCAGCTCTTCAACCTGACACCCGTTCCCACCCTCCAGGGCTTTCATCTGGTCCTGACTACCTGGCTACCTTCTCTCCGCCTCCCACCCCACCCCATTCAAGGACTGAAGCTTTTAAAAGTGTTTGTTGGGGAGCACTTTGGCATTTGGATTAATCCTCCTCATTCCATGCTCATTTCTGACTCCGCTTCCCCTTCTCAAACGCTGAACACATTCTTGATTCCAAATTCTAAAAAAAATGTTGAAGTTTCTTGGATTTCTGCACTAAATGGGGAATATGGGAGATCATAGTAATTGAGATCACAGGTAGGACAGAAGAGTAGAAAATAGACTATGAGTGAAGCCATTCGGCTAAGCTCTCCTGCTACCTTGCTGTGTGGTCTTGGGCAAGGCCTTTAACATCTCATTGCTTAAGTGTCTTCTTTACCAGGTGAGGATAACACTGCCTGATTCATTGACTTGTAAGATATGTTAAAGATCAAGTGGGAGAGCAGATTTAAACTTTTCTTAATTTAAAAGAATATTGAAAAAAATATATTATCACTAAATAGCATCACTATTAGGACTTTTCCCCAAATCTCATTTTATATATATAAAATACATATTTTTAAATCACCCTCCTTCACCAGTGTCCTCTGAGATATATTGGTATGCAGCTAACTGCTAAACCGAGTCTAAATTTCATCTCCTTTAATGTCTTCTCTTCCGGGGAGAGGGGCTGAGGTCAGGAGCCATAATGGAGGTCAGGAGAAATAGAGGACCTACATATTCCAGGAGAGTCTGAACAATCTCTCATTGCTTGTGAAGGAAAAACAAAGGAAATAGCAGTAGGACAAGGTTCTGGGTTCCCTCTTCTCATCCTAACAACCCTCGCCCACCTGGATGTCGTCAGGGCAGGGTTCAGATTGGGTTTGATTTGTGGTTGGGGTCTGGGTTAGGATTAGGGGTAGGGTTGGGGTTTCAGTTAAATTCTGATTTTTGAGTTCGGATTCAGGTTTAGGTTAGAGTTAGTTTAGGGCTGGGAAATTAGGTTTAAGTTTATATTTAAAGTTAGGGTTAGTATGAGTTTAATTTAGAATTATGGTCAGGTTAAGGTTAGGGCAGTGTTTCTCACTAACCAGTGCACTATTGGCATCGAGGCTGGATGATCCTGCTGTGGGGGCTGCTGTGTGCTTTTTAGAACGTTCAGCAGCAACCCTGGCCTCTACCCACTAGACTCTACTAGTATCTGCTCCCATTCCCATTGTAGGAGGCAAAAAATGTCTCCAGACATTGTCAGATGTTCCCTGGGCGGGGGGGGGGGGGGGGGGGGGTCGGGAATCATCCCTGCTGGGAACCACTGAGTTAAAATAAGGGTTAGGGTTAGGATTACTTTACAGTGAGGATTAAGGTCCGACATCAGATTATGTTTAGATTTTGAGTTAGGTTTGAGTTTAGATTAGAGTTAGTCTAGAGTTAGAGCTGGGAAGTTGTTTAGATTTAGGGTTAGGGGTCAGCTTAAGGCTCAGGTTCAGGTTAGGTTTAGAGTCAGTACTTTGGTTATATTTAGGTTAGCACCTTGCAGAGACAAACGCATTGCAGAAATAGTATATAATGAATTTCGTGTCTCTCCATTAGCACTCTTGGGAAGTGGTGGTAATACTTAGGGGACAGAATACAAGGAACTACCCCCACATTGGGAAGCTTCCCCTGGAACCCTGCTGAGTCTGGACAGCGACTTCATTATGGCCTTCAAGACTACGGAAGGTGATTTTTTGGGGTTGTTCCTTATCTCTGTGTGCCATAAAGACTGCTGGAGACGGGCCTGCATGTACAGACGCATGGGCATACGTACTCTTTGCACTAAGTGATGATTTACATCTTATTTCATATCCTATTTGCATACTATGGTCACAAAGACCCTCATGCTTAGATTAGGAAAACAACGCATACATGAGGGCTCCCCTTGTATGAAATTGTTGGAGGTACAAGGAAGCCAGCCTGGAGGGAGGGGTTCCTAGGGACAGTACAGCAAGATGACTCCAGGACTCCAGCAATGGGAAGATCTTGGAGCTGGAAGTCAAGGCACCAATCCATTCTCACCTTTATTATTCTACCGTGCGTGGAATCGCGGACAAGTTCATCTCCCTGCCTTAGTTTTCCCATCTGTAAAATAATCCGAATAAAACCTACCCGAAACCTTCCATCCATCCCCAGTTCAACTGGAGATGAAGTTCATTTTAACAAGCTCTTGAAGTGTTTGGGAAGGTAGATGCCGTGTCAACCCAGAAGAGTTTTATTATTCTCTGTTTCCAGAAGAAAGGGGTATAGAGAGCTTCTTCTAGTTCCGCACCTGAGTAGTGGCTGGGGCCTGCCAGGGCTTCCATCTGCCCATGTCGGAGAACACGGGAGGAATGGCGGTGCCACAGGCAGACGCAACAGAGAGGGAGCTATGCTTCACCAGCTTGTCAACATGTCATTAGGGTGTTCCTGTGGGAACCAAGAGCAGAGTCAGGAGACGTGGGAGGGAGGGAAGAGGGAGGAGGGAGAAGAGAGAGAAATGGAAGAGATGAAGGGGTCCATGCCAGTACCGCATTCATCCCTGTCATGAGGAGAGCTCTATCAAACCAAGGCCAGGCCTATAAATCAGGCCATAATTAGTTGCAAAGAGAAAGCTTTAACATCCTCATCAAATTGATTAATACATCTTGCAGCTCAGGACAGGCTGGCCCTGCCTTGGAAAAACTGCAAGCTCGTCCAGCTGGGTGGGAATGGAGTGGGGATGAGGGACAGTCTCAGCCGCGGCGGCACGGAGCCAGGGAGTTCTGCCCCTCTGTTTACTCACTTGTGGAAGGCTCTGACAGGTGGTAGGTGAGGCCAGTTCTCAGTGCAGGAGGTCATCATGGGCCTGGGGCCTGGAGAATTGAATGATTGTGCTAGTTTTGCCAAGAATTAGCCCTGAGACTGCTGGCAAATTATTTTTTTTCCTTCTAGGTCTCGGTGTCATCATCTGTAAAAGAGACATGTTGGAATTTTGTTTCCTTCAGGTTCTGACACCATAAATGTCTGTGAGTCCAATGGACAAGGACATTTGGACATCATGGCCAGTAAAGACCTGACTATAGGCTCAATTTTTAGGATACCCAATGGGTGGTCAGGAGTTTGGGATAAGCTTAAACAATTCAGTCTAACTCAGGCTTGAGATTACCAAGCTTTGCCTGTGTGTCCTTTCCTGAGGCCTAAGCAGCGAATACCCTTCATCTTTCAAGGTCGCACAGAGAGAAAAGATAGGGATCCACTTGGGTTCATGTCTTGGCTCAACCACTTAGTAGCTGTTTGTTTGGGAAAGGTTACCTAACCTCTTCAGCTTCCTCCTCTGTACTCTAGGGATAATAATGTCTCCCTTGCTGAGTCATTATAAGGAGTAGATAAGATATATATAACATGGTCAGCTCAGAGCCTGGCACACAGTAGGTGGTCAACAAGTAATAACCAGTATTATTATTGTTCAGATGACTCTTGATGTCTTAATAATGGCATCTAAATCACGTGGATATTGAACAAGTAAAGTCCAGTAAAAAAGTAAAGCCCTGATTCTCCATGGGATGTCCAATGAGTCACCCTCCTGGGATGTAATGTGACTAGGCAGCATTTTGTTGCGTAAAAAGCACTGGACTTGAACTAGGAAGATGGGTTCTGATCCCAGCTTTGCAACTTACAAGTTGTATGTCTTTGCACAAGACCATTTACCTTTCTGAGCCTTGCTTTCTGGAATCAAGAATGTTTTCAGCATCCAATCAGATAACGTGGATAAATGATCCTCGTAAAATATAAATCACTATTCAAATATAAAGCTTTTTATAAGCAGTGTTCTGGGTATCAGTCACTCTTGCCTGCTGCTGACGGCTCTGAAGTCCCCTGTCTGGAAGAACAGATGAAATAGGTCCTTTGCAAGCCCGTGGGACATGCTCTATTGCTCAAAGGGACCCTGCGTCCTTATGTCGTCTATGTATCGGTTTCCTGTTTCCTGCTTTAACAAAAACTCTGACCTAATTGCTTATAATAAATGAAGATTCTCTATTTGGTGGTGTTTGGGTCACATGTAGGTTGATGTAATGACACTATCCCAAAATCCATTCTTTGCTTCTTCTATAATAATTGAACTGTTGGTCATATGCCTGCTCATATATATATTTCCCAATCTCCTTTGCAGTTAAGATGGTCATATGACTAAGTTGTTGGTAATGGAATATAAGCAGAGGTGATGGGGGACAACTTACGGATGGGGGCCTTAGAAATGAGTATGCCTCGCCTACACTTTTTATTCTTCCTGGGACCCAGAACACCAGTGTCCCCTCAATCCTGTCTGGATCAGGTAGACAAAGGCCACCCCAGGGGAAGGTGGAAAAGCAAGAATGAAGGAACCTGGGTCCCTGAATGACAGCATAGAGAGCCCCCTGCTATCCTGGAACTCAGACTGTTCTGTGAAAGAAAAATTAACTTCTATCTTGTTGAGCCATTGCACTTTGGGAAATCTTTATTATAAGAGTTTAATCTTTCATCCTAACTAATTATTTATTTGCACTGCACGTCCCCCAGGAGTCTAGAAGTTTTCTTACCCATCCCACTATCTCTAGGCTATACACAGCACCAAATGCCTAAGACAGTCTCCCTTTTCAAAGACGCCTTAGGAGATTCCACTGCTGCTGTTGTATGTGAAGGCTGAGTCTGCATCTAGTTCAGAGTCATCTTCTGGTAAGAATTTTATTAAGAAGTTCTCCATTCGCATATACTCAAAACTACTCCCTTAAAAAATAATCAGTTCCATTTTCTTGTACTATCCTGCCATAACAAAACCTACTCTATTCCTCGAAAGCAGCTGTAAGTAGAAGGCCAAAGAGAGGGAAGATGGAGCAGAAAATAAGATAACTAAAGATGGAGGATGCCTGGAGGGATCCACAGGACTCTGAACTCTGACCTCTGACCCTGGGCCACGTGAAGGGGCAGGGAGGGCTCAGGGACCACAGACCTGGAGAAATGGACCAGAGAAGCCTAAATGACTTGTGATGAGCCTCTGATAGAGGAATTTTTCAGTCTGTGCAGTGCTCTTTTATTCTTCTAATCCCCAAGAAAACTTGACACCTACCGGCTGACCCGTTGGCTTCCTCATCGGTTTCTCATCATCAGTCAAGATTTTTACAAAGCCTATGACATTGAGAAAGCCTCCTTCCTGACACCCACCCCTCCCCTTTTGGAATGTGGTCCTGGGCAGACTCAGAATTGTTCTTCAGAATGTTTAACTGAGCAAATGGTTTGGAATTTGAGGACTGACCAGGCCCTTTCAAAAGCCAAGAACTATGGGAGTCTAGCAGACATGGGATCATGGGGAAGAGGAAACATTGAAGGAAGGACATCACATAAAGTAGCCACAGGTGGGAGCCAGAGTTGGGAGGAGGGACAGCCTCACTTTGTCACACCACTGGCCCGAATCACAGGGCAGGGCCGGAAGGGAAGTGCCAGTTGCAAATGCTCCCACCTCATCTCACAGCTCACCAAATATTACGGCCTAGCACATAAAAACTAGAGTGCTAAGCTGCCAGGAGTGTTAAACTCAAGGAGCTGTGACCAGAAGCAGGTGGGCTCTGGGAATGGGAGCTGGGAGGCAGCTGCGGCAGGCTAGCAGCTCCCCTTAGGCCCCGTGGCTCTGAGGCAGCAACTGAAACCGAGCAGGAAACTCAGCCCCTGCCCGGAAACTCACCCCTGCCTCCCGCCTCTCCACGGTGAGAGCAGTTAGGGGAGTCCTGAGCCTCTTTAGCAGGAGCTGAGCCACCTCTAAGCAGAAAATAAATGCGTTCAAGCCACATAAATCAATGAAAATTAGCAGGAGTCAAGGTAGAAATCTCTCCTCCACTACTTCAATGTTTGAGCCGAGGTTCTTCTCAGTGATTTAGAGCCGTATAATTAGAGTGATCCGATTTCGTGGGTTTTTTTTTTTTTTCATCCTCCCTTCCCTTTCCAGACAAAGTCCTCTCCTATGAGGCAGGTTCCCACTGGCCGCTAGCTCCTCCGGCTAGAAGCAGGTGTGTGCACCTGTCAGCCCAGCACCTTGATGGATCTCTGTGCTATCTTGGTTTGCCACCTCCCTGCCTGCCCCTTAATGAACAGTCCGCCCCAGGCTAGGTAGGAATTGTGGGTGGGGTGCCAAAGTTCTGAAGAATGTTGCAGAAGTAGGGAGGTGTGGCTGCTGACCCCAAGCGAAATGCAGCATCATCCCAGAGGTGGAGGAGGGGGGCTTGAATAATCAGAATCCTTAACCTCTGACCTCCGAACTGGGGAGCGGATTGATAAAGGCATGAAGGTCTCCCAGCCCTGTGTCCCTGCCAGATTAGGAACATAATCCAGCAGTTGATGGAAGGGTGAGCTGGGATCCAGAGAGGTTAGGTGCCTGGATTCACTTCAGAAAACCAGGAGCCGGGGGACCACATGGTACGGGAAACGAAGGTGGAATTTAGAGTCAGAGAGACACAGGTTCAAATCCCATTTCTATCACTTATGACCTAGATGACCTTGAGCAAATTTCTTAAGCTTTCTGAGTCTCGGATTCCACATCTTTAAAATTAAAATAATGAGATTATCTTACAGAGTTGTAGCAAAGACTAAATGAAGTAACTGATATAAAGTTCCTAGCACGTAGTGCCTAGAACGTAGCGTTTGTTCACAACATGGTACCTTCCTGCCTCTCCACTCTTCTTGCCCAAGGCTGTCCAGCAAGCTAGGAAAGGAATCAGAGTCCCAACCTGGGTCTCCCAAGTCTCCTTGTCCAGTACCCGGCGTCCAGCTCAGGAATCTACTCACCAGGGGCTCTCAGTCTAGGCCGCTAACTGAACGGCAGGGAGAGCAGAATAAGAAGGTTTCTCTAGGAGGCCGACTAGAACATGCACACTCTGAGGAAGGAAGAATCGCACCCAGCAGGGTGTTGTGCAATGTACATTGCCAGGTTCGAGTCCTGACTTAGCCACTTACAGGTTGTGACCCTGGGCAATTCCCCAGGCCTCAATTTCCCCCACTGTAAAGTGGTAATTTTACACTTGTAATTCTTGCCACAGGGTGGCTCTGAGGTTCAAAGGAAGTAGTGTATGGGAAAACCCTCTGCAAACGGCTCTATATGTATAACGGAGTGGTAATATTTTATTAATAGAATTTCTCTTAGGAAGGGAACTCTGCTTAGAAGAATGCCTTGATATGTGTTTATCATACGGCAGATGCTACCAAAGCTTTAGAGAAGGGAGGCTATTGCTCTGCACGAGAGAGAAAAGAGAAGAGGGAAGAGAGAAAAGAGGAGGGGGAGGGAGGTACCAACAGGATAGCGAGGCCAGGCACGGTGAAGGCGAGCGGAAACTCCATCCTAGGTGGATTGACCAGTGGGTGTTGTAAACACAATGATGCCCATTTAAGTTGTTTGTGTGGCGTAATATAAGCTCTTCTTCCTGTGCCCCTACAAACTCTTTGGGTATATCTATTAAACTCACCATTTTTGGAGCACTAACCGCATACTACAGTGATTCACACACATTCTTTCACTTCTTCCTCCCGTCACTTTCCACGGATGAAGAAGCTGAGGCTTAGGAAACCAGGACAACTTGTTCAAGGTCACACAAGTGGTAGCTGGCAGAGGGGGGCTCTCAATCGGTGTCTGGGTGACGTACCACGTTGCCCCTCTGGGCCCCAGTTTTCTGACGTTAATAAGGCCACTCAGCCTCCCTGGGCCCCAGTTGTTCTATCTTTAAGAAGAAATGTCTCTATCGCTTCTCTCCTTGGTCACTCAAATACTTGACAGATGAAGGAGGTAAGAGATGTAAAGTACTCTGAGAGCTTTTAACCAAACAACTCCATTGTGAAAGTAAGCTATTATTAATATCACATCTCATGTGCTAAAAGGCCTGCTTAATCTACCCGGCCCTGGGAGCCAAAGAGGGCTTCCACCGCCTGTTTAGTTTATCCTTTCTAGTC